TTTTTTTTTTGGTGCTTTTTGCCCATATCATTATCACTTAATGGTGCTACCAGTTTTAGGTAAGTAATGGGCATTTTAAAAACCTCCACAACTTTGAGGGTGCCTGGGTGGCTCAGTCAGTTGAGCATCCAACTCTGGATTTCAGTTTAGGTCATGACATCAGGGTTCCTGGGATCGAGCCAAGTCCTATGTTGGGCTCCGTACTGACAGTGCGGAGCCTGCTTGAGATTCTTTCTCTCCTCTCTCCACTACTCCCTCCCTCCCTCTCTCTCTCAAAATTAATAAATGAATAACTTTAAAAAATATTTTAAAAATTAAAAAAATAAAAACCTCCACAACTCTGATTGGCAGATGACATAATCTTAAAAAAACTGGTCTCTATAGAAAATGCATTAGAACAACAGATAGATTTTTAAACAGTATCATTAGCAATAAATGTTCAAAATATTCTTGGGTATTTGCCCACAAGATTTACATCCTAATGTAGAAATAGCTTATACATCTTCTTTAGAGATTTGTCATTTCTAGAAAAATCTCAATACTTCTGTTGAGAAAAATATACAAATCCCAACTCAATGAGCAATTTTTGATATATTCTTCTAACGGATTGTTTTTACAAAAAATATTTCAGTGTAAATGAAAAACACTGGTTTGTAATCTGTAGATTTCTGTTTCTTACATGAATAAACTACCCATAAAGACTGTTTTCTCACATTATCTTCCTAGTGTGGTTTTCCTTTACAGCTTAGTATTTCCTGCCTTCACTGAGCATGAATAAAAATTAGAGTTTTTTGTTTGTTTGATGTCATTACAATAAATACCATTTTATAAATGTGACTAAGAGGCCCTGAACTTATGCCGAGTCCTCTCGTTCAGTAGGACAGCTGTTTAATTTGTCATGTTAAAAATAAAGAAGCTTACCTGAAAACTTACCATATATGATAAAAGAAAAAAACGTTCTAAAATATATTCATTCACTTAATTGTTCAAATACCCTTCCATTCTTTTAAAGTGAACTGTCGGATGAGACCCATAATATATTTAAGCCACTTATATAGGTCAGCTAATATGGGTTATGCTTTTTTAAGCACCATCTGACTAAGCACATTCTGCATTTTGCTAACAAAGTAACGGTACATAATAATATTTTAATCAACCACAAAGAACAATAATAGATCTGACTGCTGGGCTGATAATCGTCTTATCACACCCTGTGAAACCTAGCTCTAATATTTGACGGAGCCTCCATTACTTGGCAGCCCATTCTAAAAAAAGGCCAACAATGGGGAGAGAATGAAGTGGAGTGTGCAGTAAGTCCGTATCTACATAAAAGAGATTAGAGGCGACAGCGTTCCATTTTACAGCTCAATCATATTGTGTTAGCATGCGCTTATCCGAGCGCGGACGAAATTGAAAGAGAAATAAAAAAGAGTCAGGCAGATAGGAACCAGAAAAGCGAGGCATGAGCAATTTCCAAGGATATAAAAGGATGCTAATGGCGGGGCCCTGTCATTCTTAAAAAGGGCTATTAGGGCACCATCATCTGTTCTTGTGCCCTTATGCTCCTCCAACTAAAGTCAAGCATTTTCTAAAGCCCTTGTGATCTTTTTTCTTCTATAGATAAAGTATGGTCATGTTTTGTAAGAACACACTTTTCCATTTATATGATTTATTAAAGTAAGTCAACTAATTCGATTTACTGATAAAAAAAAAAACCACTCCATATGTATTTTCTTCAATATTTTCTTTTGTTGAATTCTTCATTTTTTTATGTAGCAAAAGCAAGAATACAAGAGTACATTCCCAGCAGTGTAGAAAGGCTACTGATCTTATCTTAGATGCTAAACTTAATCTTTGAACTGTGTGTGTGTGTGTGTGTGTGTGTGTGCGCGCGTGTGTGATTATACAAACTGAGAGCAGCATAAAGAGAGCAGAGGCTTAAATTTTGGTATTAAAAAATATTTCATTTTAATTTTAACATAACTTTAAAATGCTTAAGACAAAGACAGGTGGAATTTCTGTTCTGATTTGGCTTTAATTCAGGCTCTGACCCCAGTTATGAGGACTGGGTCAAGTTATCAGGAACACGATTTTACTTCTATCATGGCACAAATGTGACCTTAATCTTTATATTCTCTTTGTCTCCCTCTCTCCCCACCAGTCCCCCATCCCAGACTCCACACTGCTGCTCTGCCCAACCTCCCTGAACTCGGGGTACACCAGCACTCTAAGATCAGAGCATCCTCTTCCTCTACCTCAAAGCACTGCATGGCACACTCATTATTTAACAATTTAAAAGAATTTCAGTTAATTCTTGTTCAGCTAATCCTTTTCTGAAAAGCCAACCCACTCCTTGCAATCATTTAAAACACCCTGAGGGTATCGGGAACACCAGAGCTGTGGAACACCAGAGCTGTGAATCATCACTTCACAGTGACCTCCTCTGGCATTTGCTATGGAGAGAGAATAACGTCAGTCCCCACCGATTCTAAGCCTCAGCTTAAGACTGAACACATAATCGTACAGTAATTGTTTCCACCACTGGAAATGCTGTTACTCATAGTTATTTAAAGTTACTGTCTTCACAAAAGTCACTAGAGCCCCTTTACTGTGACAAGTTCCTTTGTAAGCTGACATTTCTACTTAGATGCACAACTGGACCCACAAATTTATCACTGACTTTCCCTTACCAGAGAGCACTGTAAGGAGTTGTTGCCTTTTATTGGTCTTTATTATGGGATGTCTGAACAATATTAAAGGATTGGTTTAACATGTATCTCAATTCAGGGAGAACTTGGGCAGAGTTCTCTGAAATAATGGGTGGTTTGGAGTCATAGTTACATGGTCTTTCATGTCGTTATCAATAACATTAACATTATTATCATTAGTATTCTGAAATGGTTCTGTGAAATGCAGTCAACTGGGTCTCCTGACTCTACTCCAGGAAGCAATGCTGAATATATGCTTTGATGGTACCGGATACGTTTGTGATTCTGTGTAAGTGTTTTTACCTCTTTATGCTTCAACTGTCCCTAGCTATGAATCACAGATAATACTACTCGATTCCCAGGTGAGAATAACAGTTCTCAGTTGGGAAGCTGGGGCACAGTTTTGCTTGCCAGCGGACATATGTCCGTACCTGAGGACATGTTTGTTTGTCACAACTCAAGGGGACTAGTGGTAGAAGCCAAGGAAGCTTGTAAGCACCCTCCCATGAGCGGGAAAGTCCCCCACAACAAAGGATAATTGGTTCCAAGTGTCAATAGTGTCAAGGCTGAGAAGCCCTGGGTTAGAATAACGATATTTTAAATATGTGAGTATAGGTAGGTGTGCCTGGCTGGCTCAGTCAGTAGAGAGTGCAACTCTTGATCTCAGGGTTGTGGGTTCGAGCCCCACACGGGGTGTAGAGATTACTTAAAAATAAGATCTTTTTTAAAAAATTTAAAAATAAAATAAATAGCTGAGTATATGTGTGTGTGTGTCTCTGTTTATATAAAATAAAATATGTAAATACAAATGATATATATTGATTATCTTCAAAAGGGTCTGTGGATACTTCAACAGATGTTAGCTTTTGTTTCTTTTTGCTTTAAAACACTTCAACACACTTTGCATCCATTAAGTCAGAAAAGTCTTCATACATTGTTTAAGTGAATTCTGACATTTTCTAATGCTACAATTCCCAAATGTCTCAACATCTTTCAGCATATCCTTTATTCGTTTTTCTAGAAGTCACACGAGTGTGATTACAATCGAAGTGCAATATCAACTATCCAGATGATCAAATGCTCCTCCTTTCACATGCAGTAACCCTCGTATAGGTATCTTCCAAAGAACACACTCAAGCTCACCTATTTAACTAGTTTTGACTTAATTTGGGGTGCTTTATTAGCAAACAGTGTAAGACAAAGTAGCTAGTATAATACAGAGTGATGTTTAAATTAGTTTACAATTTGCTTGGCCTCATCTAGAACTGCACCGAACAAAGCCATTCAGAAATGTCAGCTGTGTTCCTAACCACTGTAACAAATTGTCGCCTGAACGCTGCACACCTAATGACTTCAAATTAGCTTCACTGCGATATCGCCTGACAGTTCGTTACGACTGTTAGCAACATAGCTGGCGTATCATGACCAAGAAATTGGTTTCAGTGTGGGCTGGGAAAGGGACTTCCATCAATTTGATTAAAGAAATTACTGTAGCATTCAAAGCATAAAGACAAACTAGTTTAAGGAGACAGAAATAAGTTAACTGTGCCAGGAAAACAGTGCGCATCATTCAAAAACTTGTTTCTTAACTACCTGAAGATCAAAGTTCAAACAAACAAATAACAAATAATTCAAGCAGACTACTAAAATTCTCAAAACTTGTGATCAGCTCTATGTTTATGGATGGTATGGGATTGGCCAAGAAAGCAAAGTAATAGGCTACTTTCAAATACTACTTTTAAGTTACCGTATGAAAAACTGTATGATGTCAATTTAATATTCATTTTTATCATCTGTGTTCAAATCCATGGGAAATAGTAAATGTCAACCAAAGGAGAGCTTATAAATACAAATAGCAATTCAGTGTAAATAGCCACCACGAACAACAGAATGAGTTCTTCTTAACAGAAAAAAAAAGGTACATTAGATAACTGCTGACAAAGACATGGTTTTAAGTGAAAAGAAAAAGTAGAAGTATCTCCTGAAGGGAAAGGTCAGAATTTTAAGAGGAATGAAGACATCTTTTTTAAAGATACATTCTTCTTTATCTTATATTGGCAATAGTGCTTTTGCATATGAAGAAAATAACAGGTGTTCGAGGTGCTACAGACATAGAAAGGTTTATGATTCGATTAGGATCAGCAAAGCTCTAAATTAAGTATGATAAAAACAAATGTAGAGGTTAAAAACCATACTAATGAGAAAATTTTGAATTTGTCTAAATCTACATAGGCAACCTAGGGAATCATTGCAACCTTTTCTGTTTCATTTTTTTCTTTTCAGAAAATGTACCTGGAATATGCTTCGCCCATCCAATGATAACCACCAACTCTCGGTCAGCCAAGTCACACAGTGTAGTGAGGGCTTTGATGTCACTGTCAGGGACCGTTGGGTCAGGCATGGCATAGATCTTCTCCGGTTCGGCCACCAACAAATGTGAGACAATCTTGTTATCTGCAGGATCAGACCAGAGCACTACAAGATCACTAGTAGCATCATCCCTGTTTCACAAACCCTAAAGTATGCCGCATCTTGAAAAATAATTCAAATTGTCTACAATAAACCCCAAATATTCTATTTACGTTTCTATATATACATATATATATATCAAACAGTGTTCGGGAAAACTCATAGCAAGAAATAAGCCACTGCAGTTGTAACAGAATGTATTCCTTTCTTCTTTGCTCTACCTGCCTTTGCTGGAATGAAGCATCTGTCCTGTAATGAAATTTTTTATAGCAAACAGAGCAGAGAAGTTAGATGCTTTCTAGGTTTGCTCTTTGATTCTTAAGTGGGATTTCGGGAAGCAGATTAAATAGTATACAACATCTTTAAAATAAAAATCCACAATGAGCCACTGAACTGTAGAATATAATGTGGAAGGCAGAGAACTACCAGTGCCCAGAGTCGTAATGGGCACGAAAGTCATTAATTGTCTTAATTCTTTTAAAGAAGAGCAAAGGTCAGAGCCCTTCTGCCTGGGTGAATTACTGACTATATAACTCTATCTCTGTGGGATGCATTAAATAGGAATTTCTCTCCTTTCTCTCCCTCCCCACACACCCAGCCAATCTTTCAAATATAGCCAATATCAGTTTCCAGAAAACTACTCCTACTTAAAGGCGACAATATTTTCTCTTTGGAGCGCCTAATTCTTTAATCCTCTATTTTTATCTGTTGTCTTTAGCTCATTCTCTGGCTCAGATTTATCTGTCTGAAATTTGTGATATATGTTTTTAAAATCCTTCATAAAATAAACACTAGAGACAAATGGAAAGCATCACATCAAATGTGTTTTATTGCTTAGGGGCATGTGAGAGTTTATGGAAGGGCTGTAAAGCCTTGCTAACAGAATGATTTTTCTTGTTGGCCCTATTTTCAATTTCTATGTGTAGCTTTAGAGTTTGTACTTTCTTCTAAATTAAGAGATACAAATGGGTAAGAATAAACCCAAATATTTTTATGCTCTATGTACTACTATTACTCTAGAAAACCAGGGCATTAAATGGGACTTTTGTGAGCAAAGCCAAAGTTTCCTCTGTGTTTACTAGATAATTTTCCTTTCATTATTAACTATTTAACCCATCATTAACTTCTTAACCCTAAATGAAAAGACTGCATATTTCTTAGAATTGAAAACGTAGCATGCGTTTTGGTCTTCTTTAATGAAATGACAAGGAAATTATCCAAGCTATAATTAGCAATTTTTCTAACGTTTAAAAACTTTATTATTATGGCTGCTTTAAGAATTACATTTATTGCAAATCATCAAAGATAACCGTTCATTGGCAGGAATATTCAATTATCACCAAATTGAAAATGCAGATTTGGGAGGAAATATTCCCAAACACCATATTTTGTAGGAAAAAAATAAAATTAAATACAGATTCTTTTTTTTTTTTTAACTTTTAGGATCTGTGAAGAATGGCATTTGTTTCTTATATATGCTATGGAAACAACACCCTGTATGTTTAGTTACACTTGGAAAAGTTTCAACTTCCATTGCTCTGACAATGCGACAAAACCTGTCAGCAACCACTGGATTCTCAGGATTAGAAGAAAATGCAACATTTAACAAAGGGCACAGAAATGTACCCAAAGAAAATCCTGACTCTAATTCCTTTAGTACTGAGAAGATGGTACTTGTTTTACCCAAGTCAGTGGACTTGACCGGAAGGGCTAGAGAAATTTGGCTGAAGCGAAGAAATTCCCATTATTCGGAAAATGGAATAGCCGACAGCACTGTTTCTAGGTAAATCTTATTTAATGTTTCCCTAATTAGAATCAATAGAACCCAATTTTCATTCTTGGGCTTTTGTAGTACACAAACAATCAGTCAGGGTCCAGAAATCTCCCTGAGCCACTTTCTCAGCAAAGCCCAGGCACAGCCTCTTGACTTATCTGACAGGATCTGAAAATTAAGTTTTATAAATGTTTGTTACAAAAACACACTAATTGGATGGACTAAGGGAAATTAACACAGAGGCCTTGAGATAATGAGTAATGATTTATTAGGAGTCCTCTTTATCTCAGACAAATGGAGCTCACTGAAATTGCTATAATCTTCTTAAAGGCACCTGACAAGCCACTTCCCAATTTCTCAGGTTTACGCCGAAAACCATAGATGTTCCTCTATCATGTGGACTTACAAACGGGCTGGTGCTCATTTTTCTCTCAGAAGAGGAAATTATCAATGGTTTCAGTCAATGTTCGTGCAAAATGAATGAGAAATGGGCAGGCTGTGTAATATTGAGCCTAGGAAACTAACCCCTAACGAAATTAAGCATTAGTGTTTATTGCATTTTATTGTATTATCAGAAAGTTTTTTATTATAATGTGCAAAATCTGCTTAATGCAGTCCTAGATTGTATTTGCAGAATGCCAACCAGCTTATGCAGGCTGAGGAGAAGATGCCAGATTGGACAATTGAAGGTATAATCAACATAATGTTTTTTGGAAAGGCAAAAGGAAACTATGCCATATGTTCACTTAAGCTTTAATTTTATGTAAAACTGGTTGTTTTTCCTTTGACATAGCTAAAATGTCCTTTCATTTACAGTTCAGGGTCTGTTTTATTTATTTAACAGATCCCCATATGCTCACATGTATGATGCACAGCAGCGACCCCTCCTGGAGAATCTGAATTAGAAGCGGACACTTTCTCTTCCCTTGAAAGCAGATCAAAAATTACCCGTGTGTCTTCCCACAACTGCTCTGGATGCAGCTTCCTCTGGTTAAGTGCTGGTTGTGTCTTCTGAGACAGAGACAGCTAAATGTGAGAACCGTTTCCATCAAAGCACTTCTCAGTGCCCAGTACGAACTCTATGCGTAAATATCCTAGGAGGTTAGCTCCGTTGTGCTAGAACTATGAACTGATTTTTCAGAAAATGGGATGCAGTTATTGCCTCCATCTATATCCCGGCTCTTTTTAGTTAATGACAAACAGAATGGGGCTTGCATTTTAGCAGTGTACCCATCATCCTTTCAAATTGCAATCTGGCATTATAAAACCATGGACTCTTTAGAAACAATTCGTAAGGCCCATAAGGGCATCTGAGATGGAACCACCAACCTATGCTTGTTATTAGTAGGGCCTATTCTTGTTTTAATCTATTGCTAGCTAGTGTGTTAACCTTCCATAGCTCCAAATTAATGAGGCTCCTAATGTATTTTCATTGGGAGGTTGAGCAGTCAAACTCATTTAGTTAGTGAAAACTACAAAAATCACTTTCTTGTGAAATCTGAAACTAACAGCTCCAATGAACTAATGATTACAGTATGATCCATTTTATGTACCTCTGAAAATAAAGATAACCAGTAAATGTAAAATTCTCACTATATAAGCTATGCCTTAATATGCTTATGCTTCTACAAAATGACTACGTGAAAAAAAGGTAGGGGAGAGAAACCATAGGGAAAAAAAAAAAAAAGATAATTAGCTGAGTTACTGTTGCTCCTAAAAGGCAATTCTTGGGAACAGAGCCACGGCCCCCAACGAAGACTAGTCTCCTTGGAGTCAGTGGGGATGGGCATGCCAAAAGGGATATACATTGAGCCAACTGGGAGGATTCCGTGTGTTGGAAAGCCAGACATGTCTGCTGTACTTACATGGCTTTTTGGCTGGCTGAACCAGCTGAGGGTTCAGGTAGGGGCTGTTCTCCGCATCTATTCTGCGCTTGTACTTCTGCCGACCTCCACGTACTCTGTCAAGGCGCACCCCTGTGGGCAAAGACAGGCACTGGCTTACTCCTGAGGTATCCATCTTTGAGACCAATCAAATACATGGAGCATCACCCGTGGGTGCTATGGAGACCGAGAGTAGAACCCAGAATGGTCCAGAGGTGTTGGGAGAATGTAAAGAGGGGGTGACTAAACCAAAATTGCCAGTAATTAGAAACCAAATCCAGCAGAGAGTAACAGACCTGAAAAACATTTGATGCAAGGCCATCAAAGTCCCATTTGCACACCAAAGAAAAGGCACATTTCCACGGGAATTAATACAAAGCAACTGTTACTTGGTACTAGCCTAGTTTCTCAAATCAAAGACAGTGGCAAGCTGATCCTCTTCATCAGTCACCAGTGAAAGCTCAATTTCTAAGAGCTATCCAGCCCTCCCTGGTCCACCAGAAGGCTCGATACGGCCCCGTGGAATTGAACTGAACTGCAAGCGTGTGCATGCCGTGAAGAGGTGGGATGACACTCCGTAAGAGGAGATGTTCCATACTCTAATGTCACCATGTCTCAGAGGAGAACGTCATTTATATTTTTGGCACACGTTTGTATTTTCTTCCAGATGAGAGAAAACCGGGACTGGACACAGGACAGACAAAAGGAGCTTCCTGAAAGAATTCAGAAGGCTTGGACGTCGAAGGAAGGCTATGTTAGTGAGGGAGAGCTGAAGGGTGAAGCTAGAAAAGGAGGTAAAGCCGACAGGTATTTAGTAAATACCCAAAGGGTGAGGAGTTGGGTCAAGGTTCAGAGAGTTTTTGCTGGTACTGGATTTAAAAGATTGAGCGAAGAGGCAAAAGGTTAAGAAAGAAATTAAATATAAATGTTTCATATGTGGGGGAGTGGTGAGCTGAGCTTATTAATAACTTGGTTTCCAATCTGCAATTATGAAGTTTAGGACCGGACCATATAAACCTTTATCTAATGAAGAAGTGGCTTGGGAGTAAGAGCAAGGAGAGAGACTCACTCTGATATTAGGCTGCACCTTAATTGATAAAACACTATAACATGATCCGTTAACAAATTCAAGCAAGTAATTCACTGTACATGTTTTGGCATTTCTCAAAGTGTTTAGAAAACAGATTTCGTTTAACAGCATCATCAGTATTATTATTTTACTGAAAAGGCCTCTCAGAGCCTTTAATATGCAAATGACCTCTGCAAAACTCTCAGAAGGAGATACAGCCTATGCGATGTTCTGCAAATCAATTTAACCAAAGATCCTGTTTTTGGACTATTTAGTAACATCATGTATAACATGTGAATGGTGGGTTCTCTGTGTTTTACGAAACCGTTTGGGAAAGGCTGATACAGCTCTAGGGAATCCTGAAGTGAATACATACACTCGAATGCTCAGGATTACTTAATTCAACCACGAGATAAAGTAAAACACAATTTTTCATATTAGCTTCATAATACTGCTTTAAGAGTTGACTATCTTTTCGTGAAACACAGAAACATATGCTTGGTTCTAGATAAAGCCTGAAATGTCATACTGAAATATCAAAGCAGAGTTTAAAGGAAATCAGGAGACAACTTCAAGAGCAATTAAGTAGGTTTCCACAGCAAATTTCACAAAACAAAGAAATTAGTACAGTGTCTAAGTATTTACTGAAAATAGTAGCACACGTGAGTTACAAAGAAGCTGTTTTTCTTACCGCTGCCTTTAAGAAAAAAGTCTATTTATTTATTTTGAGAGAGAGAGGGAGAGAGACACGAGCAGGGGAGGGGCAGAGACAGAGAGACAGAGAAACCCCAGCAGTCTCCACAGCGGTCAACGCAAAGCCCAATGCGGGGCTCGAACCCGCGAACTGTGAAATCATAACCAGAGCCCAAAGCAAGAGTCGGAGGCTTAACCGATTTAGCAACCCAGGTACCCCTCCCTATTGCTGGTTTTAAAGTACTTTCTGCCTACAGTAGAGTTCTGTTCCCTTGTTCATCTGATTTTAAGTGTAGAAAAGTTGGTGGGAAAGAAACTGAAGAACTGGGATACTACGCTTCTTCCCGTTAGGATGCTGATTTTGTAGAGATAAACGGTAGAGTACAAAGAACAGAAATACTTAATCAAAACGTAAGGCTACTGAAGTTTAAAATACTGTAAATCAAACACTGTAAATAAAGATCCTGCCTCTATTGCACTTGAGGGCACATAGGTTTAAACCACAATCTCTCATTAGTAAGGAAAACACACAAATGATACTTGGCGTTAAAAAAGAAACAGGTATCTACAAAAAAAAAAAAAATGAAGATGGTTCAAGGGAAAAAATAAAGATATTAACAATCACCAAATAAGAGTAATTTAATGTAATTGTTGTAACTACTCCTATTTTATAGAAAGTTTCTCAGATTATCTAGTCTAAAATGTATTGCCTTGCATCTATCAAAAAGCAGTATGTATCATCAATTTCTATATCCCTACCAGCTAGTCCCTTGTCTATAATAATGATATTGTGAAAAGACTGAAGATCCCCCCTTTAATGTCTCCAACTATAATAACATGGTAATTTATTCCTAAGTATTATAAGAAAAATAAGTTAAAAAAAATAAAGCAGGGGAGCCTGGGTGGCTCAGTCGGTTGTGTCTGACTCTTGATTTCGGCTCAGATCATGATCTCACAGTTAATGAGTTTGAGCCCCATGGGGCTCCAGCGTGGAGCCTGCTTGGGATTCTTTCTCTCTGCCCCTTCCCTGGGCACACACACTCTTTCTCTCTCTCCCAAAATAAATAAATACATTTAAAAAAAGAAAATAAAGCACAGTTTGCAAGTCAGATAGTTAAGTTTTTTTCTGGCTCTTTTATTAACCGGCTTTGTAAACTTTGATGAGTTCCTTAACCTATCTATTTTTCCAAAGATAAGATAGACATAAAGACAATATCCTTCCTGCTGTCTTTCTGTAAGGACTCAATATTGTATTTATATAATGTGTTAATATGTTTGGATATTATACATATGCATCATTAAAATATTTTATAAACCTTAAAATGCCAAGGAAAATAAGGAAGTTGTCATTTTATCATTGTTTTGTTGTTGAAATATTGCTGTATTACTTTATTGAAATATATTTTGCATCCTGATCATTTATTAAAAATCTATTCCCATGAAGTTTGACAGTCTACCTTGCCTCAATTCTGAGGGAAATACACTGAGGTATGATGGAGTGGTAAGAGAATTCAAAGGATACAAGACAAATAATGATACTCATTTGATGTCAAAGAGATTTATAGAAATATTTGGTCCCGTTCTATTTACTGTGCATCCTTGTCATTAATAATATCATTTAGGTATGTAATTATTTTAGACTAGATACAGAAGCTAATCCAAATTCTATAAAAAATAAGGATGCTACCCCTGAGTTTAACTGTAAGCACACAATACAAGGTAGACAACTGATAATTATCCAATTAACCTAATGTATTTAAAAGTCTCCAAATAGTTTATTTTTTTAAATGTTTATTTTTGAGAGAGACAGAGAGACAGACAGACGGAGTGTGAGTGAGGGAGGGACAGAGAGAGAGGGAGACACAGAATCTGAAGCAGGCTCCATGCTGTCAGCACAAAGCCCGTCATGGGGCTCGAACCCACGAACCATGAGATCATGACCTGAGCCAAAGTCAGATGCTTAAGCACTGAGCCACTCAGGTGCCCTCCAAATTGTTTAGCAGAAACAAAGAAAAACAACACTATGTATGACCAGGACCTGGGAAATCCAGACTTGTCATAACAAGATATTAATCTAATTGGAATATGTCCACTGAAGGTGACAAAGCCTGTCTTTTTACTTCTTTAGTACCTGAAACACACACACACACACACACACACACACACACACACAAAATCTGTCTGGACTTCGCTTGTAACCAGTTCGGGAAAAGTTGAAAAGTAAGATTTTTTCCCAGGAAATAAGATACCCACAATGTTCAATGTTTGACAGGTTTTGAAGTTAATTAAGGCAATTGGAGTTTCTATTCATGTGGAGACTGCTTTTTAAAAAAAAAAAAAAAGATTTTAATAGTTGGCATTACCTACCAAGTAGAATGTTTCACATTGCTTCTTCTTTCAAATACTGCATGTGCCTACATTGCCACAAGGGAATTACAAATCTTCTACATTGTCAGAATTTACAAAATTGAGAAAGCAAGAAGAGGGCAAGGAGGAAAAAAATACGCCGTGAGGCAAATAAACGCCAAAAGAAGTGAAACAGTTCAACACAAGGTCTTCTTAGGTCAGCTCATTTTAAGTCTACATTTTATGCCCAAATGCAAATTTTTATAATATTATATAGTCCAAAGTCAAAAGTATTTTTCACATTTTTAATAGCACAAAGTCAGAGACATTTCATAGGATAATAAAAAATCTCCCCTTCAGAGAATTATAAAAGGATACCCTAGCCTACTTTCCTATATTAAAGACCAGCCTTTTACAATGTTGTTCGCAAAGGTTTGCTAAAAATATGAATTACACAGACTCCTGGAACACTTAAGAAAGATGCAAACAGTCACATGAAAGTGATACTATTTTTTTAAAGATAGTGAATTTTTTAAAAAGATCAGTTAATTTAATCAATGCTAAATAAAGGGTTGTGTTAAATAAATGCTACCAAACGTAGCTTGCAATTGAGTTTTGAGATCGGACTAGAAAAGCAGGACTTCTGAAACAATAAGGCGGAGAGGACGGGAGTTTTCCCTTCCACTTGATGTCTTCCCCATCCTGCAGTTCCCTTTGCTGCAGGAGGAAACCACGCTCCTTCCCTTTGGGAAGACAGGCACCTAAGAGCGCCCTTCAATTCTCCAGATACTCCTGTGAGGGAACCGTCATAAACAGAGGATAGAGAAAATCCCTTTGAGGAGCTGCAGGGAAAGAAGCTAAGGCAGATTAGTAGTATCACACACCGCCGAGGGTCATTTTAGTGGCAGCCTCTGATGGGGTTCTCCTTTGGGACAATGTCCTAAAAGAGCGTACCAGTTTAACCTAGAGTCCTTGTGCATAGTTA